TTAATATAAAATATTAGTTATTAAGTGTAGTAAGTTTATCAAGACTTACTCATAAAATAAGTGAATCTCTCTTCATAAATTTTTTTTTTTACCAAGTGAAAGTAATTAAAAATTAAAATAAAATATTAATATATTTTATTATATTAAATATGATAAAATAATTAAAATATAATTAATAGTATATATTTTTTAAAAAAATTAATATTTTATATAAAAAAGAGAAATAGTAGAATTTTAGTGGAAGCAATTGTCCCCACTTGTTCAAACACGGATCGTCTGCTTTACATGCATAGAAACATTTGTCATCTTCATACTTTACTATTTTCTATTATAAGATATACATAAATGACAGCCATAACAAGTTTTCATTTCAATAAGGTGCGCATCAACATCATACTTGAAAGTTGAAACTGAAGATGGGAGAAGCTAAAGAAAGGTGTCCTTTGCATCCTTGCTTTTTGTTGAACTCAAATCTTACATTTTTTGAATCCCTTTATCCTTTGAGTTTGTCAGGTATGCAGTTGTGACTGGAGCAAATAAAGGGATTGGATTGGAGATAGTTAGGCAATTAGCTTCAGCTGGGATCAAGGTGGTTCTCACAGCAAGAAATGAAAAGAGGGGTCTTCAAGCACTAGAGACACTCAAAGATTCAGGTCTCTCTGACTTTGTAATATTTCATCAGGTGGATGTGGCTGATGCTTCAAGTGTAGCTTCTCTGGCAGAATTTGTCAAATCCAAATTTGGGAAACTTGATATTCTGGTAACATGCAACTCTCATACTCCTCTACTTTTTTTTTTTCTTCTGTATTTTGGTTGTAAATGAAAGTTTGTCACAACAATCCTCTTTGTCTGCATGTTTGAGCTTCAGTTAAAAAAATGAAAGAAGGCACACATTTTTACAATTAATTTTCGGTGTTCATTTTTACTCTTCTCTCGATTTCCATTGAATGTTTGTGTCTTCATCTTGCTGCAGCTGTTAGTCATTGTTAGAATGTTAGTGGTGTGATTCTGCATGCATGCCTCTTGTTGATAGCCATTGTTAATAGAGTTTGAATATTTCTTGGACCACTACTATGGTCTTGTCTCCACACTGTAGTCTTCTGCATGTGTTTGTTCATTCACCATTCCATGTTTAAGAAAATGGGAACTTTTTGTTTATTTTATTGCTTGGAAGGATTCTGGTAAAGGGTGTTTTGTCGAACATAAATTGTTCAGTTCTGTTAGTGTGTGAATTAAACATTGCTTTTAATTATGCTTTTAAGATAGAAGCCTCACTGGGGGGTTAAAACGAGGTTCAGAATTTTATTTACCTGAAATGCAATTTTGCATGTTAAGAATGATTCAGACATTTCTTTTTTGTAACTTTTTCTTTATTTCGGGTTAACTGTCTTCATTATGTGATGACTATGCTTCTTGCTTATTGTATTCGGTTAATATTTGGCATTAAGTAAGCTTCAGTTACCATTAAATTAATCATTTTGACAGATTTCCTTTATATCTAGTTATTGAGTAATGATAAATTTTCTTCATTCCTTTGTAGGGAATCTCATGACCTCTCATTTTGATGTTTGCACATATCATTTAAGAAAATTTGTACATTGCAGATTAACAATGCAGGGATTGGTGGAGTTGTAATCAAAGACAATGATTTAATTAGTAATGTCATCATAAATCGTGGGGTAAGTATATCTAGGCCTGTTCTTAAATGTAGTAAATAGATGTGGAAAGTTTCAGTGTACATAAGGGACCCAAGTTTGCTACTTTTCTAGACCATTTGAAATTGCAACGAGAGAAAAACCTTACGAAAGGTACCTAAGTTTGCTACTTTTCTAGGCCATCTGAAATTATGTTATCAAAACTTTATGGGCTATAGATATGACCACAGTATAAAGACTAGAAAATCTTCATCTTGGAACTAGCTTTTGCTGTTTAGTTTGGCCCAACTCAAATTCAAGATGGTATCAAACCATTTCAAAAATGTTTTTAGTGTAAAACTGAATTATCATGGTTGTTAGAAAAGTTATAAATTTTCTATTTTGGTTCAGGGGTTATTGTTAGGGGTTTGAAAAGCTTATGTGATTTAGTATTGTCATTATTTTTCAGGTAATAACAGAAGATGATGGGTCAAAGGCAGTGACTCAAACATATGAGTTAGCTAAAGAGTGCTTGCAAATAAATTACTATGGTGCTAAACTAACTGTAGAATCCCTAATGCCCCTCCTTCAATTATCTGATTCACCAAGAATTGTGAATGTATCATCCACTCTGGGGCAGTTAGAGGTAGGTTATTACTTCTTGCACCAATAAATTCTTAATGTCTTGCTTAAAATCTGACTGAAAAGAGTGAATGAAGATATCTTTGTTCATTACTGTTTCTCATCTCCTTAATTTGCATGAGGTCTTATTGCTTAATCATGTCAAATTCAGAGTTTCCCAAAAGGATCATGGGCCAGTGGAGTCTTGAGTGATGTTGATAACCTTAGTGAAGAGAAAGTGGATGAAGTATTGAACAAGTTTCTAAGAGATTTCCAAGAAGGTTCAATAGAAAGCAAAGGATGGCCTAGGTATCTTGCTGCCTATATTGCCTCGAAAGCTGCAATGAATGGCTATACTAGAATCCTTGCTAAGAAACATCCTTCATTTTGCATCAATAGTGTTTGCCCTGGTTATGTCAAAACAGATATAACTGCAAACACTGGCATCTTAACAGTTGAAGAAGGTGCTGCTAGTCCTGTGAGGCTAGCATTGCTTCCTAATGGTAGTCCATCTGGCCTCTTCTATTACCGGACTGACGTGGCTTCCTTTTGATTTGTAATATGCAATTTTATGGTTTGAGAACAAACTACATTTATCTTGCTTTTCAATTTATGATTCTACATTGCACACCATGTTTATTGAACCTATTTTGAGCACATGATATCTTGTTGTACTGGTATCATATCATATCATTACCATGTTGTCAATTTACGATTCTAATTATATATGTTGATGTCATTGACAATGCCCTATGTAAAGGAGAAAATAAGTTGGATGAAATAAAACTTTGCTTAAATAGACATGACTTATTTAAAAAATTCAAAGCCCAAACGTGACTTTTTTTAAAGTGTCACATTTAAGATCAATTAAAAAGTTTAATAAAATAATTTTTTTTAATACTATCGTTTTTATATTAAATTTTTAGAATATATTAAAATCATGTATTTTAAATATTTTTATGTGTTAAGCATATTTACTTGTCAAACTTTTTTTAATGTTTGATTTGGTCATTTTGAAAGTATGTTTTTTTTTTTTTTCCCATTAACTTGCATAAAAGCCTACTTCATATATTTAATTTTTAGAGATACGTTCCACATATTTTTAAGTAGGTTAACAGACTGAGAGGTCAATATGAAAAAAAAAAAAAAACCTCCATATAAAATAAACTATAAACTATGAAAACTAAAATGCTGCTTCTTAAGACATGTGATGAGCAGAAATAGGTAGTTATACTTTATATTTATAAAATTCAAATATACTTTATTTATATGATATAAAATATTTTAAAAGTCTAATATAGCTTTATCGTAACACATTTTAAAGTTCATTTTGTAGTAAGACACACACACACATATATATATATATATATATATATATATTACAATAATAGGTATAACTTTATCTTTCAATAAGTTGATTTATGCATGTCAATATGCTTAACACATAAAAATATTAAAATACATGATTTTAATATATTCTAAAAATTTAATATAAAAACGATAGTATTAAAAAAAATTATTTTATTAAACTTTTTAATTGATCTTAAATGTGACACTTTATAATCAAATAAATAGACTTCTCCCCAAAAATAAACTCAATTTAGTTTATTTCCTAAATAAGTTTAGCCTAACTTGATAAGGAATGATCGTTACTAAAAAAAAATTGAGTTATCTTCCAAATTTTAACGACAAATATTTATTTTTGTCCCCCATTTTTAATGTTTCTCTTATCTCCCTCCCTCCACTTTTATTTTGGAATCCATTAGCCTTAAAGCCACGTGCGTTATTTATGTAGGAGAATTTTATTTTTTTTAAAATACACTTTTGACTTTTTATAATATCAAATCTGCAATTTTAATATTTCTATTTTTATTTTTGCAATTTAGTCTATCAATTTTATAAAATTTACAAATTTAATCCCTCATTAAATGTTCACTCATTAAATGTTAAAATTATAATGTTAGTCATGACATGAAATTAAATATATGACATAATAATTAATATTTAATAATATTTAAATTAAATTTTATTTTTAATTCTCATATTTATCATATAAAAGTGGTTAAATGAGATAAAAATAAAAATTAAAAGTGTACTATAATTTAAATATTAATTATCTTGATATTTAGCTAACGTTAGATTGTGACAAATGTTATAATTTTATCAATTAACAAATGAACATATAATAAGAAAATCAAAATTGTGAATCTTATTAAATTAAAAGATTAAAATGTAAAAAGAATTAAGAAACTAAATTATGGATTTGATATTATATAGATAATAAAAATACAATTTACTTTTTTTTCTTCCTAATATTCATAGGACTCTTAACCCCACAACCAAGTAAGAACGTCCAAGAACAAAAGAAAATTATAATAATTACAAAGATTATAATTATATTAAATTATTAGGGTTAACATCGTGATAAAAGTTAATGTAATATAAATATAGTCTTAAATTCAAATTCTAACATTGTGATTATAATTCTTATAGATAATAATAAAATATTATAGTTTATTTGTGCTTAAATATTGGACTACACTCACACGGATCACCACAGTCAAGGAGAAACTATTCCTCTGTTGCTGAACTATAATTTAGTATTATTAGAACTAGACTCATCCATTTGGATTGGTTAGTTACCAGTGACATTTATTTACTAGTCAAATAACAATATGTGTGTGATCCAGTAATTGCATTGGTTCAGTGGCACTAGTCCGATCGGTTTTCAGATTTCACCGGTTTAATCTGATTTTAGACCGCTTTAATAATGTCATTACCAATTAATGACACATCCAATCCTATCATTGACACCTTCGGTTCCCGGTCAGAGCCAGCTTTAGTAACACTCTTTTGATCTCTTATTTGTTTCAACTATAACTTTATTAAGAATAACAAATTATATTTTTTAAATAAAAAAAATGGAACCACGGCTACTACTATATATATGAATACATTTTTCACCTCTATAAAGTAACATAATAAAATTTTAAATATGATGTATTGAAATGCAAGAAAAATGCAGCATTTTTTTCTTTTCACATTTTTAAAAGATATACATAATTGTCAACCATAACAGGTTTGCATTGCAATAAGGCGCACGTCACATGTAAGAGTTGAAAGTGAAGATTGGAGAAGCCATAGAAAGGTGTCCTTGGCATCCTTGTTTTTTTGTTTACGACTCCCAATTTCCAATTCTGTTGTTTTAACTCAAATCTTACATTTTCTAAACCCCTTTAACTTTTGAGTTTGTCAGGTATGCAGTTGAGACAGGAGCAAATAAAGGGATTGGATTAGAGATAGTTAGGCAACTAGCTTCAGGTGGGATCAAAGTGGTGCTCACAGCAAGAAATGAAGAGAGGGGTCTCCAAGCACTGCAAACACTCAAAGACTCTGCTCTCTCTGACTTAGTTCTGTTTCATCAACTGGATGTGGCTGATGCTAAGTGTAGCTTCTCTCGCAGATTTTATAAAATCCAAATTTGGAAAACTTGATATTCTGGTAACATATGCAATTAACTTTCATACTCCTCTCTTTTTATGTTTCATTGTGAATGATAATTTGTCATAGCAATCATTCAAGTCTGCATGCTTGAGCTTCGGTTACAAAAAATGAAAGGAGACACTCATTGTTAGTCTGCTCAATCATCTTGTTATTCATTGTTAGAATAATAGAATGTTACTATGTTAGTTGTGTGAGTCTGCATGCATATTTCTTCTTGTTGGTCATTTTTATTAGACTGAATATTAATAGGACTTCCTCATAGTAATTCCTGTTTCAGAATGTCCACGATGGTCTCATCTTCACACTGTAGTTTTCTGTCTTTGTTTATCATTCGTCATTTCATGTTTAAGAAAGTGGAAACTTTTGGTTTGCTTAGTATTGAATTTTCATAAGACAAGAAGACTAATCATGTTTCATTGCTTGGAAGGTTTAACATTCTGTGCTAGTTAATTTTTTGGTGCAGGAAAAGTATTTCATCAGATAGAAATTGTTTAGCGCCGTTGAATACTTAAATTGTTTAGTTACTCTTTACTTTAGTGACGATAATTGATAAGGGATTTTTGTTCGATAGAAATTGTTCAGAGCTGTTGGTGTGTGAATTAAACATTGATTTTACTGATACTTTTAAGATATAAGCATAACTAGGGATTAAAACGAGGATCAGAATTTCATTTCTGGCATTCTGCATGTTAAGAATGTTTTAGACCATTTTTTCTTTTTTTACTTTTCTTTATTTGTTGTAAGCTTTCTCCATTATCTGATGACTATGCTTCTTGCTTCCTGTATTCTGTGAACATTTTGATATTAATTAAGCTTCAGTGCCCATAATAAGCATGATCCTTTATAATGCACTGAAATTGGATTGTTAAAACTTTATGTTGAGATACCCCTTAACAAATATTAAACCTTATCTAGATGGTATCAAAGAATTTCAACAATGTTTTATATAATTAATTAGATGTATCCTAACTTGTTATGCTTATCTTTTAACTGTTAAGGATTTTGAAGTTGGCTCTTCTTTTGCAATGTTAATGACATGGTAGAAATCTGGAAGTTGTGATTGTTTCATTTTGGGGCATGGGATATATTGTTAGGTGTTTGAAAAACTTGTGTGATAGAGTATTCTGTCATTATTTTTCAGGCAATGCCAGAAGATGATAGGACAAAGACAATTATTCAAACATATGAGTTAGCTGAAGAATGCTTACAAATAAATTACTATGGAGCCAAAATAACTGTAGAATCTCCTATGCCCCTTCTACAGTTATCTGATTCACCAAGAATTGTGAATGTGTCAGCCACTTTGGGGCAGTTAGAGGTAGGCGATTACTTTTTGCGTCAATAAATTCTTATGTTTTTGCATATAATCTGACTGTCAAGAGTAAATGAAGATTAATCTTGAAATTCTGGTGTTTAAATAACTAACAGTGTGTGTTATTGCTCTTATTGACTTAAAATGTTAGCCTATGAAACACAGTCGCACACCTAACATAACACATCCATCGACATAGCTAATGTTTAAACAAGACATAACATATAGAGATACTTAAATGAAATGAAATAACAGCAACATAACAAAAAATAAATCTAATCAATAATTGTTAACGATACGAGAGGAATAAACTCTTAGAGAGAAACTTCACCAATGAATCATGAACTAACCAACAAGTGAATTTGACATCACATCTTGACTCAAAATTTCAAGACATCAAAATTATAAGTCCTTGTTACTTATGTTGTTCAACATGTATACTCATCTTTATCTAATATGATAACTTTTATTCACACTACACCAACAATAATCAATATTTACATATTCTTGTATATTTATATTTTTTTTTATGATAATGAGTCTAATGAAAAAATATTAGGAGCATTACTTACATAACAAATGAACTTTATTTCTTTACCACTAGATGGATAGATATGTATACTAAAATTGAAGCAAATGTTATTTGTAGCAGTAAGAAATAAGCTTGGTGATGGAATCATACTTGGGAATGCAAGAGGTGACACACTCAAAGATCCAAGAGGAGTGGGCTAAATATGGAAGATTGGGTCCGTCAAGGCCCAATGGGCCCTATGGGTTTGGAAGGCCCAAACCAAGTTTCAACATGGCCTAATCTTGATATGAACATTCTTATTATAATTTTGTTAGCATAGTTTGAATATATTTTGGTCTTGTATTTTGGACCACATAAAGTAGTATTTTAGGTTTTAGGCTTGTTGGGCCTAGTTTTGGGCTTTATGGGCCTTTGGGTTTTTGGTACCCAATATTGGGCTCATTTTCATTCTTGTAATTTTTCCTTTCCATTGTATTTGTTTGACCAATGTAATTAGGTCATTAGAATAGGAACATACAAGGAATACTAAAGTATGCTAATTAGGTTAAATTAGGTTTAATTTGGAAGTTATTTAAGTTACATTTGAGTCACATGTTTAGCACCATGGGTGGCTGAACATGTGCCACTCAAATTAACCCTAAATCACTCTCAAATCAAACCTAAATGCACCTTGGTACCTAAATTTTCGGACTTACACATGTGCACCAAAGTTTGAATTCAAATTTCAAATTTGAATTCAAACTTTAGGCGCCAATTTGTGAGCATTAAGTTTAGGCGCCTAAGTGTCATATTTTCGGTGCATACTTAAGCCTTTCCTTCATACTTTGTATTCACTTTTGAGAATAATGAAATTTGAGAGCTTATCATTTATGAAATTTGTGAGCCATAGTGCCGAGTTTCTCTCTCAAAGTCTCTTAGAGTTCATCTTCAAAAATCCTTAGGAATTCACCTAATTTCCTTCTCTTTGAAGTGTGCTCTCCCTTGATGCTTGAACTCGGATGCTTCCCTCCTAGTTCTAGGTTGATTTCATCCGTGATTCCTCTAGTTTGCAAGTGTTCTTGAGTTGAAGAGTCAAGTCTCCATTGAAGAAGATCCGGTCTAAGCAAAACCGTGGAGAAGAACCTCCATTCACTTCTCCTAGTTTTGCTATCATTTTTGGTATCAAGAGCAAGGTCTTCAAGGAGATAAGTTCTTCATCTTTTTGTGTATCCGTGCTTTTGTTCTTGTGTATTTCCTTGTCTTGTTTGAGTTTCTTTTCAGATCTATACGCTTTGATTCACTTTTTATTCCATAGATCCATTGGTTGATTGTTTTTGAATTTTCTTCCACAATCAACATGTTTAGGACCTATTAGCTTGTGCTTGTTTTTGATTTTCTTTGAGTCTCTCCATTTCTTGTATGTGTCCATGATTGGACTTCATGCATTGCATTAGATTTTGGTTTTTAATCCATGTTTTGTCTTAGTGTGTTTGTGTAGTCTTTAAATGTCTTAAAATTCCTTGAATAACATTGTTGACCTAATTTTCTTTTAGTACTTTGTTCATTGTTGCTTACGATTTTTGTTTTCTCTTTGTGCCTACCTATATGTGCTTTTTCTTTTACCTTATTGTGTTCATGATTTGCTATTAGTCCTAGCAAGTTTCCTTAGAGTTAGGTTTCCATTGTGTTCTTAAAGTTTTCAAATCACCTTTCCATTGAAAAATCTTATAAAAATTTTGTGATTCAAAATTTCAAGTACTTCTAGTGCATTATCTTTGGATTCAATTTTAAAAAAAATATATATATACATTAAGGCTGGAAAAACAGAGTGAAAAAAGAGCCTAAATTGTTCAAAAGTTCAAAAGAAAAGAGTTCAAAAGGAATCCAAATCAAAAACCTAAAGACTAGTGCACTAGTTTCTCAAGATTACTTGAATTTTGACCTAAATTTTGGCTAACTTGTAATTTCGGTTTCTATAGCTTGGAATCTTAGAAAAATTTGAAATAAAAGGCAAAAACACTCTCTGGAATCTTAATTTGATACTGGAAAAAGAAAGAATAAAAATAGTTAAAGCATTTTAAATAGAAAAAGCCGAGAGGTGTGCATTGGTGAAAAATCACTTGATTCATTGTTCTTGTTTTGACTACCATTTGTTCAATACTTATCCAATTGCTTTCAATTTTTTTGTTTTGTTCATCTACTCTAGTACCTATCTAGGAACCTTCCTAACTGAGTGCTAGCTTTATTTGGAGTCTTAATTTTCAGTTTTAGTTGTTGAACCTCTTTGTATCTTGTCATATACATCAATTACTCTTTACTTTTGGTATAAGCTTTCCAAATTGTGCTTCTATTGCTTGTCTAGTTTTCTTTCAATAATTTTCCTGTGCTGGAAGTGGCCTTAAATCCTTGTTCAAGGATCAAGCATTGCTCAACAAAGAGTAGGAAAATTTTGGACACTACAATCACCAAATTTGACCCAATTTTGTGACCAAAATCCTCCTAAACTTCCTTCACTTGAGTGACCAATTCCTTCACCTTGTGAGGCAGCCACATTAACCTCTTTGTTGTGTTTTCTTTTGCAGGTCCAGGAGCATCATATTGAAGGATTAGTGGCGGATTAAACACTTGAATAAGTGTTGGAAAAACTTGAACATCAATCCGTCACTAATTGGTTGCCAAAACCGCCACTTTATTGCTTTCCTAGACTAGTTTACATTTTTGCCAAATCTTTTGTATTTTAAACCAATTTGTAAAGCTTGGAGGGAGTATTAAGAAGCTGTTCAGGTATATCTAAATCCTTGTTAGCATCCTCACGTGTAGTGCTAGTGGAAGTGGCTTGGAAATTTCATATGTTTCAAGCTTCCACTTAGGATATCCGACTAGTTGCTTACATTGTTTCCTTTAAGTTTCTTGTCCTTAATTGCTTTATATTGCTGCCTTTAAAACGTTTAGAATTGTGTAATTCTTAATTGTTCACGTTTAGATTAGCTTTCCAAAACAAATCAATTGTGAAAAACATTCAAAATTTTTGTGAAAAGTTTTGGGGAATCATAGATACCACAAAGGAGTTTAGTGATTTCCACTTGAAAAAGCTTGGTTATTAAGTGGCTATTAGTAGCTCACTTCCCTTGATAGTGCAATTTGTACACTTAGACTTCCAAGTGCTATCTTTGTTCCTAGAAAATACCAAAAACATTTTATAACTTTTTGCATAGCATATAAATTCTCCTTGCTTAATCATGAGTCATAATTCTCAAAGTAGTAGTGACTTTGAATCTCCCAAAAGTTTTAAAAGAATTGTTAAGGAGGTTGAAGCACTAAAACTTTGGAAGCAACAAGAGGTACTTCAAAAAGAAAAAGAGAAAATTGAAAGAGAAGTACAACTTATTGCTTTAGAGGAAGAGATAAACAAGATTAAGCTAAGAGAAGAAAATTTTTTTTAAAAAAAATACATAAAAGCAAAAGTCAAAAAAATTTCTCAAAGAGTTCAACCAAGAGTTCCAATGACTCTCAAAGCCAAGATAATGAGGGAAGTTTGAATATGGATGCCTATTACCAACCTCACCCTAGAAGAGTCATTAAAGAACCCAAAGTGAGGGAATCAAGGGTTGATCTCCCTTACTTTCATGGTAAAGAGGATGTGGATGCCTACTTAGATTGGGAGATGAAAGTGGAGCAAATCTTCATTTGTCATCAAGTAGGTGAGAAAAGGAAAGTTCCCTTAGCCACCCTAGCTTTCCAAGGACAAGCTATGCATTGGTGGACATCCTTGGAGAGAGAGAGAAGACTTCACAATGACCCTCCAATCACTTATTGGAATGAATTGAGGAGTGCTATGAGAAGAAGGTACATTCCTTCTTATTATAGTAGGGAGCTTATGGATAAGCTCCAAAGACTCCAACAAAAGAACATGAGTGTGGAGGAGTATAGACAAAAGATGGAGTTGTATCTCATGAGGGCTGGAATAAGGGAAGAGGAAAGATTGACCATTGCTAGGTTTTTAAGTGGTCTAAATTTTGATATAAGAGATAGAGTTGAGTTACTCCCTTATAGGGACCTTGATGATTTGGTCCAACTTTGTATAAGGGTGGAACAACAAAATTTGAGGAAAAATTCTTTAAAAGGAAAAACTCAAGCTAACTCTTATATCAAGAATGACTACATCAACATGACTCTTCTAAAAACTCTAGTAAAGGTCAAGAAAAAGAAATAGAAAAAAAAAATAAAAATATTGTCACTTCTAGTAGTAAGACTAGTGACATCAAATGCTTTAAGTGTCGTGGGAGAGGCCACATAGCTTCTCAATGTCCTACTAAAAAGGTCATGATTTTGAGAGGACAAGACATTTATAGTAGTGTTGATGAATCTAGTTCTACCACTTCAAGTGATAGTGAAACTAATGAAGAAGATCATCCAATTGAAAAGCTATATACTGTTGATGGTGATCTTCTTATGATCAAAAGGCTTCTTGGAAGTCAACCTTGTTCCACATCCCTATCACAAAGAGAGAACATCTTTCACACAAGATGTTTAGTTTCCAAAAGAACTTGTTCTCTCATTGTTGATAGTGGATCATGCTCTAATTGTTGTAGTATAAGGTTGGTTAACAAGTAAGCCCTTACCACTATTCCTCACCCTCACCCTTACAAACT